AAAAAAAAAAAAAAAAAAATGTTACGAGAAATGTTATGACTGAATCGCATCATATGCACGAAATATTGATGCATCAAGATTTTCATTTGAACAACCTCATCTAGAATGTCTCGAACTACGAGTAGAAACAACCTTAAATATCATGTTATGCAAAAAGATTAATGATTAAGAGATTGTGTAAAAAAGTGAATCTACTCTTATTTAGAATATACTCTAATAGAATCCACGAGAGAGTAAGAGATTGTATTATAAATTGAACAAATAGCAGAGAATTAATAACTTGCTCACATCCACAAAATATATTCTTGGTGATATATATGTTTAATCTAAAATTTTTTATTCATACTTCATGCTAGAGTTTAATTATTCAATACTCTTGAGCCCGAATTGGCCGAACTATTTAATGGACACGTCACATAAATTACAAAACTGATGACTCATCACCCATCTTTCATGACTCATCAAACAACGATAACGAGCAGAAGCACCACATAACTATTTTTGGCTGCGCATGCATGATGAAAGAGATAGAACTTTGCCAAAAAATAGTGATAACAAACAAATATTTTTATTGATTTATTTTACTTTTCCACATATATAAGATTGAGTTTTACCCACATAAATTATTAAATTTAGCACATAATTTAGATTGCGTTTTTAAATTTGTATGTACTCCAAAATCATAGGGAAACGCGTCTAGCTAGGGTTAGCCTTGGCTTGCGTTCCTGATATTTTGTTGAGGCCAAAAAAAGGGACCAGCTGTATGGAACTGTACCATTGCAGACTGCAGAGGATTAAATGATTGATAAGATTTAAAAAAATAAATAATAATAATAATAATAATAATAATAATAATAATAATAATAATAGATTCAGGATATGATATGGACTTTTTTTGGTCGTTATATAACAATGGATGGGCCTATTAGGTTAGAGCTATTTCGTGTGAATCTTGAAGGGAATATTTTAGCACATTCATCCTTCATAGAGGCACTAGAAGCTTCATGATCTCCAATTCTCCATACACGTGAGGATCACTAAAGCTCTAAACGAGCAGAGCCAAATTTGTGTTTTTAGGCGAATTTAGCTCGTTAAGTTAACAAGTCAATAAATGAGTTTGACTTTAAAGAATCGAATATATTATGTTAAGTTCAGAAAATTACGTAAGGCTAATTAACGAGCTTTATTATCACTAGCATTGATCCATCTTATAATCATGAAAAATTAATAATTAAGCTACATAGCTATTGGCTCTACATGTGCAATTTGCAAAGTAATATCCGGATGAATACAACAAATATTTCTGAATTTACAAGGAGCCAACTTGGATGTTTAATATATTAACATACTCTTATAAATTTAAATTGATTATGGGCTTTAAAGTATATCTAAATAGTGATTTGTATGACAAGAGTCCGGTGCTGTGATTATACTTACGGACAATCAATCCATTATTATTGTATACTTATGGTGACCTCAGACTAAAATATGACTAATGTTAATGAGATTATAATTAATTTTCACTACTTATTATCTTATATACACACTTATAGTCAATCTTTCTATTAAATCATTCATATGCTTATGCTAAGGGGGAAAAAAAAAAAGAAACAAGAGGATACATTTTTTGTAGTCAGCCCATGACTTAGCAACACAGTACTAAATATCCATTTATAAGGGCCTTGAAATGTTTTACTCTGGTCCAGCCCATGACATAGAAGCCCAAGCAATAGCCTTACTTATAGGAGGAATTTGCACCAGGTACGTTTCCTTTATTCTTTTATTACATAAATATAACCCCCTAAAAAATATTAGCATATTAACATAATTTATTGATTTTATTTGCACAAATACCAGAGATTAAATCTGGCGTAATTAAAGGCAAAAACTTATCACATTCCAAATAACTCTTCTTCTCTCTCTTCCCCTCTCTCTTCTCTCCTTCTCTCTCTCTTCTTCTTCTACAAGTTTATACGATGAGAGTTTTTCTTTTCTTTTTTTTTTTTTGGCTCCTCGACAACTTGCTGCAGGAGAGGATCGAGCGTGCTGATCCGCGGCTTCGCCAAGTCTTTATCACCGGCGACTTCTCGAGCGTGATGATGGTACACGAGCGACGATTTTCCGATGATGGGGGTAGATTCTCGATGGTGGAATCCATCTCCTTCTCCCCGTCGCACAATTCTCAGCCGACCGAGGCGATGCCACTGAGATACGCCCGTCGCCGTCGAGGAGGGGAAGAACCGACGCCGTCAGGTGAGCCTGCAGATGCAGAGACGAGGGCCATGGCTAAAGTTTCGGCTCTTAATCTGGGTTCATGTTAGAAAAAACTGGAAACTGGAACTATTTTCAGTATATGTTCGATATATGTTCAGTATATGTCCCCAATTTCTGCTAGTATATTTTGAGTAATGTTTGGTATATTTTGAGTAAAAATATGTTGTGTATATTTTTGAGTAATGTTTGGTATATTTTTTATTTTAATCGACCAGTCATTTTATTTTTGTGGTATATTTGCATAACTTTTCTTAAGAAAAAGATCGATTGCGCCTCTATCGTTTATGTTGTGTTGTGGTATATCTACAGTATATGTTCGTTATATGTACAGTATATGTTAAATATATATGTATAGTCGCAGGATAAAAATTCTGATTTTTTTTTCTTGGTAACATCCCGAAAATCATGCTGAGAAGATATGGAATGGAGGATGTTACGATGGTAACTAATTTTTAGGCAATAATGTAATTATTGTTTGTCTATTAAGTATATACATAATTATTTGTTTGTGAATGGTAAATTCCAAATTATTTTATAGTGTATAAAATAATATAAACAGCTCTCAGAGTGCCAACATGAAATATTCGGAACAAGGTTGCAAATGAGTTCAACGGCTCAAGTTAACTACACACTCGAACGGTAAAGTGTTCCCGTATGTTTGTTTAACAGTTGAAAATCATCAAGCCAAATTTTAGTCGAGCTTGAGCATTACCGACCATCAAAACAATTGTTCAACCCTTATATTTTATCTTGGCTTGAGTTGAGCTCGATCCCTTAATAAGCTAAGCTTGGATCGGCTCAGCTCGTTAACTTAACGAACATATAATCGAGCTCGAGTCGAAATTAAGTTTTAACGAGTCGAACTATAACAAAAGTATATAATAATTATATTTTCGAGCCTTAATGCCGGGCTCGACTTATCAACCAAACGAGCTTTAAATGAGCTCTTCATCAGCTCAATTATCAAACAAGATCGAGTCGAGTTCACGAGGGACTCATCTATATATATATAATTGCTAGCTAAGCAATAAATTTTACCTAATAAATAAAACCTAATAAATTTTACCTATGTGGCAAATCATTAATAAAACCTAATAAATAGAACCTAATAAATTTTATTTATGTGGCATTAATACACCCAATCTCATTAATAAGAAAATATTTTATTATATTTTTTTGGGTTAATTAAGACAAAAACCATTATATTTTATGTTAATTGATTAATAATTATATTTTTATTGAATAATATAATAGTTAATATTAAAATTAGTAATTATATTTTATACTAAATAATATATGAAAGTTACATAAAATTATATTTTACACTAAAATCAATATTTTTTTTATATGATGAAGCGGTTGTTTATTAATAAATTAATTTTTTTTATGTCATAGTAAAATTTCTTAAAATCACATAAACAATTATTATAATAAATGTAATATTTTTCAGCTAATTAATTGGTCATGATCACTCAAAATTATAAAAAGTATATATTTATTACATTTTATACAATCAATATAGTGATTCGTATACAATCAAATTGTGTGTACTATTTATTTTAACCAATGATCAAATTTTAAAATATAATGCTATTATATAATTTATAATTTTAATATTATATACATAAATATAACTTATAATACTATATATTTAAAATATAATACAATTATATAACTTATAATTTTTATATTATATACATAAATATAACTTATAATATTTAATTTTATTTACATCTGTGCAAATGCACATAATCGAATACTAGTTTCAATGTAACGACTCTGCTTACCTAGTCACCTAGTCACCTGTACTTGCGAAATATCTCGTGTGCCCTTTTTGGTCGTTTCACAACCCACAAAATGAAAGTAGAGCAACAAACAAGAAAATTCAATTTTGCTCACTCGATCGAAACCCGACACACAAAAAACCCCCCACACTCCCCCCAAAAATATCTCAGATAAACAATCCGCCATAGATAGACCTCGGCTCAGAGCTCAAGCTACGACGCCGTTCGCATGGCTATGTCAATCGGAAACATATCCCCACTCCTCGACCTCGCGACTCGCACCATCCTCCCAGACCGAGCTCGGGCCGTGGTCCCCGACCGTCGGGCCGCCCGCCTTCTGCCGTCCGACGCCGTCCTGAGCCTCTTTTGGAAGGATCCGATCCAATCCCACCACCCGGACTCGGCCTTCGATCACCGGGAGAGGCACACGAACCGAGGGAGCAAATCGAGCCGGTCGAAATCGAGCGGGGTGGAGTACGAGAACTCGAGTGACGACGAGAACGGGAACGGGATCGAGGACGAGCTCGGGGAGGACAACGGGTTCGATTGGGAGAAGGAGATGAGGAGGAGAGTGAAGGAGATCGAGGAGATGCGGGAGCTGGAGACAAAGGCAGAGGAGCTGCAGTACAGAGTCGATCGGGATTTCGGAGATGGGGGTGGCGGCGACGGCGGCCGTAAAGAGGAGAATGAGGAGGAGAAGCGGATGAGGGTGAAAAAGGAACTCGAGAAGGTTTGTTTGTTGCCTCCTCTGTGATTGTTTGGTTCTATTTTTCTAATGTAAGCGCCATTGAATGAAACATTTGCAAGATATTATCAATTTTTTTTGTCTGTTGAATTGAGTTAATTAGGAGAATTTTTCTGCATTTTTTAAATGGATGTGAAATGATTCTGAGTTTAGTTTGGTTGTTTGAGATACATCTTAGGTTGGGTTTGGTTCTGATTTCTGAATGATGAACTCGAGAGATTAATCTGTTGAGGACATATGCCAAATTTAGCTTTGTGGCGATTGGGATGCGATGCATAGAATTAACAGACTTTGCCGTTGTTTTCGTAACCGTGAGGGATTGGATTTGAGTTAATGAGATGTAAATTATTTCGAAAGTAGATTATTTGTAATTTAAAATGTATGGGGGAAAGCATAGTGTTGCTACAAAATTAATAATCTTTTGAGGAGGTATCCTGACCTAGGAAAGTTGTGAAAACGAGGTATTGTTTTGGTGAATAAGCTAGTTGTTTATTGTATCTTTTTAGCATAATCCGGTACCATTATTTTCCATTAGTTAAATAGTCTCTTCTTTTGCACTTTGCACGTGCTTTAAACATTTTCTAGTTTTTGGACCATCAACCGTTCCTATCATTGAATGTTTTTCAAGTTAAATCCTATTGAGAGTAAAGGTTCAAAAGTGTCGGCTGGATTGAAAGAATTGAACTATAAAAATACTTTCTTATAGTTACTTCAGTCTTTTCGTTACATATATGTTCTCTGCTCTTTTCTTAAATGATGTGTTTGCATTTATAGATTTGTAAAATTAATGTTGTTAGGTTGGTGCCTGCCAAACCATAAACCCTTTTAGTAGGAAAGGAAAAATTTGCAGTTTGCACTTTACATATCCTTGTTTCCCCAAATAACAAAACTATAGCAGATATTCGTTATGATATATTTTAGGTAGCAATGGAGCAAGCAGAAAGGAGAAAGACAGCTCAATTAATGTTTGACTTGGGACAAAAAGCATACGAAAAGGGCACTTATGCGCGTGCCACTGAGTTTTTTGAAGCCGCCCTCACAATCATCCCACGACCCACCTTGTTTGGCGGTGAGGTTAGTAAATCTATAACACCTATAATTTTTTTTTTCTTGGTCAGATTATCGAGCTGTACTATGAGTTGCTTCTTCCATTTTACTTTGTAGATTCAAATTTGGCTTGCGATGGCATATGAGGCCAATAACCGCCATGCGGACTGCATTGATCTGTACCAACAGTTGGAAAAGAAGCACCCGAGTGTCAGCATTCGGCGCCAGGCCTCGGAATTGCGTTACATACTGCAAGCGCCAAAGCTTAAGATAACCCAAGAGGAGATGGTCACGATTCCCCTAATAGGTTCTAGTTATGACAGGTGAGATTTTATTTTCTTAGATTGTTTTGCTAATCCTATTTCAAGAATTGGCTTGAAATGCAGTCTCATTAGGAAAAAAAGGACTAATGTTTATAAATTGTAATTGCCATGTTGTCTGTTTAATTACATTTAAGGGTATATATTTTTAATTAGAAAAAACTAGCAGGTTACATCTGCCCAATAGAATTGGTGTGTATACTTATTGAATGAAAATTACATACTTGCAGTGACACTTCATAGTTTCTAGATACATAACTTGACAACATTTTCATGTTGTTAAATATAACTTGATACATATTAATTAGGCAAAAGCTCTGGGAATTAATTTTGTAACTCCCCTCTTGTTTGGTGACAAAATATATAAAAGATGGGATTATTCAAAAGATTTTAAGGCGCAATTACAAATTACATTGGACCTGATTAGTCGGGCAGAGGTCAATTCATTCCTGAAAATACAACTACAACTGTTCTAGACTTTAAATCTTTAAGGGACCGTTTGAGTTTGTACGAGCTGTTTTACTTGTTATCAGCTATGCAGCTACATGGACTGACAAATACAAAGATAAGGATCAAAGAATGAGTGGGTCCACAACAAACCAGCTCCCGTCAAACAAGGACTACTTAGCGGACTTTTTAGTCTGGAAACCTCCGGTAGGTTTGGAAAAGAACCGAGCTTTCTGGGTTTCGTTGACCTTGTGGGTCGGTCTCGTTGGGGCAGCTCTCTTTCTGCAAAGATGAAGCACGCCTTTGTGTACAGATATGTAAGTATGGTTTTGTGTTCTTGCTCGGGTTTTAGCTTGTTTCTTTTTAGTCGCTGCACGCTATATCGTTTTTCGTTATTTGCATTGATTGTGTTGTGGAATAGTTTTTTATGCATGAACCGGGTGTTGTGATTATGTGATATCTGTATCTTGTGTACATTGAGTTCCTCATGCTATATAAATTTCAATCCTTGAATTTTTTATTTGTTAATGATGGGCTGACTTGTGAGTTTATTTCTTTTTTTCTTTACAAATTTATGGCATGATTGGTATGTTGGAATGACATGGGAATGGAACGATGATTCTTTACTCATTCTTAATCCCGTGATTGGTATATTTTTTTAGAAAGGAATAGTCATTCTAATAGGAATCACAAAACCCATCTCCGTGGGATTCATCATTCTAGCTAATGTATGGTTTTATCATTCTCATGTCTTTAGGATTCAGTTTTTCAAAAAATAAAATTAACAAATAACACCAACCAATAAATATATAATATATACTATATATCATGATTAAATTATATGAAATAACATTATTTATTGTAAATAACTAATTAAAAATAATTTTAGTTTTTTATTTATTCACATTTTATTTAGATATATTATATTTTATTTAGTAATTTGCGTGCCCGGATAATTTCCACATTGCTAGACGAGAAGGCCCAGGCCCACTTGAACAGGCTTGTGCTGACGTGCTATCTTGCGATTCATGCCGGGAAGAGTGAGGATTTGGAGCGGGCTGGGGTTTTGGGGAGCTTTTGAAGGGGTCGATCGGGCTTTCATAGCCCAATACCCGAAGCTGAGGGAGTTGATTTCGCAGGCTGTGTATCAACTGAGCGTGTTTCATCAGTCTCATTCGGGCTTGCTTGTGGCCGAGAGGCATTCGGGCCTACTTGTGGCCCAAAGGCAGTTTTGAAGCTAGCTGGGTTGGAGGAGTTATTTTAGTGAGGTTAATTTTTGTTAATGAGAATTTTAGGTGAAAAAAAAAATCAAAAGCATAGTGGTGTCTGCATTTGTCCATTGAGAGTGGTGTTTTTTGTGTCTGCATTTTAGGGGATAATAAATTAATAATCAAGCATTTGTGATACTTATGCTATTTAGGCCAAGTTCATTACATAATAATACTTGCAAATTGCAATTACAAACATTCTGTGTAAGTCAACAATAACATGCAAGACATTCTCAGCAAACCATATATATCTACCTTGAAACAAGGAAAATTCAAAGTATGTATTTACATAATATTTTATATATATAGATATCTATATCTTGACATCAGAATATATAGATCATAGAGGAAGTAAGGAATATACTTGAAAAAACACGATTCATCGCAAAGCTCGCCAGGTGTCGGCAAGAAGTATAGCTCGATCACGAGAAGCTGTCGATAATTGCTGAAGGATAACATTTTTGACGTGAGCAGCAGCCCTTTCACCGGCCCTAGTCGCCAATTCTAAGTACACGACAGCCTTCATCATATCTCCTTCCTGTTGAAGAACAGCATTATAATAACTAGTAAGATACTTCACTGTTTTGTTTATTATTTGGGATCTCAATCAAGTGAACAAAGGCTTTGTCTTTATACAACTAACGCACAATCGAGTCATACGGGTATTTTTTCCCCCTAATTTGTGAACTTCTCTGGACTTTTTGCAACTATCCGAACGAAAGTGGCTTTCATCATTCCATTTTCTCCAAACTGTGTTTATTATCACATACCAAGAAAAGAGTAAGTTTATTATTATCACATACCGAGAAAAGACCTAAACCGTGCTCAAACTGTGCTTTGCTGTGACCATGATCAGCTGCCTTCTTCATCCATTTTCTTGCTAACCTATGAGATTGCACCAAACCCTCGCCCATTAAATAGCACAAAGACGTATTATACATTGCACGAACATACCCTCCTTCAGCAGCCGATAAATACCAACGAGCCTATCAAAATCCAAGACAAAGGAAAACCGAAATCTTCAGGTTTTAACCAAGAATCATTCGTTTCTTAATTTTCTTCTTTGAAAAGAAAACTCATTAAAAAAAAATGAATTGATACCGCTTCTTGAAGGCTTTTTCCTACTCCTCGACCTTGATGCAGACAGAGCGCGAGTTGGTATTGGGCACGGACGTGACCGGCAATTGAGGATTTGTACAACCATTTTATTGCTTGGTTGTTGTTAGGTGGATTATCTGTAAACATTTACATACCCATCAATGTACATGATATATACAATACAAATTTGACTGGCACATAAGTAAAACCTGTTTGAACAAATATTTTGAGAATATAAAATGCTGAAACGAACATGAATGGGTACAAAGAGTATCGAAATTGCATGCTCTTTGCATAGTGTGAAACCCATGATTCTTTTACGAGCATCAAAAAACAAGAGCACTCTGTGTGTGTGAAATACCTGATCAACTATCTCGTTATTTTATGGATATCAAACAATATCAAGAAAGCACAATAATCGATATTCTTTAACCGAGAATCAGATACTTGTGCATTGGAACAACAACATACTTGTGCATTGGAAAAGCAAGAAAAAATGGAACTTACTGGAAAATTTTCGGGCAATTCAAGTTCTTCATCTGGACAATAAAAAGTAATCAAACAGAACTATAAAGTTATGAACCAGAAGAATATAGGTTCATATACTTTCAACACACTATCAAGCTTGACATTGCTCAATAAAAACCAAGCCTTTTCTATTCATCTACTTTCAACACACTGTCGAGCTTGAAATGCACGATAAAAATCAAGTCTTTTCTCTCTAAACAAATTTCATTTACACTGATATCAAATGCGAAACACAATTAACCAAAAAGTAAAGCTCTAATATTATCAACCGATTGAATTCTGGGCAACTTTGCTACTGAGAATGAAAATACAAAATGAAATCATCCTACGGAAATCTATAAAACAAAATTAAGAAAAAATCAATATAAAAAAACAACAAAAAATGAGAAAATTCACTTTGTGAATTGGAGGAAAACACTATTATTAGTCACTGGATTATCACACAGAAATCTGCAAATCAGAAACCCCCAAAATTGATTTACCTTGCAAATACGCAATAGCCAAATTACACTGCCCTGCCGGGTCGCCGAGCTCGGCCGCCCGCCGGTACCAGAAAACCCCCTCCTCCCTCTTCCCCATTTCCCAACAGATCAGTCCCGCGTCCACCATCGCCAGCGTGGACCCACGCGCCGCCCCCTTGAGGAAGCAGTCCAGCGCCCGGCCCGGGTCGGCCCTCCCCGACCCTCCCCGCCCGTGCTTGAACCTCTTCCCCCACCTCAAAAACACCATGGCCTCGCGCAGGGGCCTCAGCGCGTCTCTCCACGCCCGGCACGCGAGCGAGGCCGCCCTCAGGTCGGGCAGCCTGAACGACGCCGCGATCCTTAAGACGATGTCGTACGGCAGCGTGGCGAAGTCGGGGCCCGCCGCCGGAGGCGGCGATTGAGCGTTCGCGGAGAATAAGGAGAGGTGTTTCTTGGGGGGTTTTGCCGAGGCCGGCGGGTCGCCGGGAGTTTTCCGGATGAAGGGGAAGGATGTGAAGTGGCGGCCGTCCGATCTGCATGGCCAAGTCTTCTGATTCATATGGCGGTGGATGTCGGCCGGAAGCAGCGGCAGGGGTGGTTCGGGTGCCACGTCAGCTGGGACTCAACGCGGCCTATAATAGAATTTGTTGTGTTTTTTATGTGCGTGCGAGTGAGTGAAGGGAAAAAGTAGATTTTATTTTTGTTTAAACTCAAGTAAATTAAATTTGAAGTCTTGTTTTTTGGTAGATGGATGGATGGTGGAGAATGGGCAACCGAAGTCAAAATTTTTATTGTTAAGGGCATGACTTTGTATAATGGTGATTAATAATATCTAAAGGACGATTGAAAATAAAATGTGAGATTTTATTTCTTCGTGGAGTCACCATCACAAATATATAATCCTCTTGACTTTTAAAGTATCTTAATAATGGAAAATGTAAATAAAAAAAAAAAGGACAATATAGTAGTAAAGAGGTTGAGTGGTTTTGGGGGAATTTTTGTAAAATGCAAATTGAGATAATATATTTAAGATAAAGATAATAAAAGTATTTTATTCTTGAGAATCTCAAAAACAAATTTTAAGATACTTTATTTATTCATTGTTAAACTAGTGTTAAAATTCAAATATTTATGCCAAAACATTGTGAAAGAATGGTATCTATTATGAGTAGATATATAGATATTCATTTTGCATAGCAAATTTAATCTTGCCTACACACAAAACAGAAAATCGATTTACTATACAAAATTTCGAAACTTTTCTTTTTAAAAACGATTGTAAAAAATAATACCATAAAAAGAGAATTTGTGTATATTTCACATAAAAAAAGAATTTGTGTATATTTCCTAAAAAAATCGTTCATTTTCAAAATCTGCTACAATGAAAAAAAACATATTTAAATATTACTATAAATTTATATTTTGGGTATATAAATGTCAATTCAAATTGTTGACTATAACAAATATGATATAATAAAAAAGAATCCTCACAAATGAGAATTGGTGCCATGTAAATTTAAATTGTATTTTGTATATATAACATATATGTGCTAACACAAATCAATGATATAAATACGTTAAAATAAAAAGAATCATCCATAAAGGTGAATTCCAAAAATCTTGTTTGCATATATGATTGAATATACAAATTAAGATTGATTGTTTGTCTTCTACCCTAAGAAATTCACATTTGTTAATGTTAATTAATAATATTTCATTTTGTCTTTTGAATTTAGTTTTCTTGCCTTGTTACTTAAGCCACGAGTAGTTGTTGTATTGATTTACTATTTTTTTTTTGTGTTTCAATGTAAATTAATTAATATACCATGTGATTAAGGTTAATTTCCATTTATAAATTTACCTAGCATGGATCTCGGGATTACGGTTAATTTCCATTTTTAAATTAGTAAATATATATGTGTGTGTATAATAAGAAAAAGGAAATTAAGAATTGATTAAAATAAATCCAAATTAAAAGGTCAGTTATATGAAAACTATGCAATTAATAATTAATTTTTATTTAAATCATATTATATTACTTCTATGGTATGCTTATAGCGAAAAAATGTTACTAAAAAATGATTTAAGTTAATTCATATTATAGAATATAGATTTTTTAAATATAAACCCCTGCAATCAAATTCTAAAACAGACTCCAACGGACTTCCCCCTTTTCCGTCGGCGGCGGACGCCACCGTGAAAAGACCCACCCAAAAATGTCGGCCATCTCAACGCCGCGGCACCTCCGCTCGCCCACATTCAAAACGCCTCACAAAAACCCCATTTCGATTCAGCTCCGGAACAAGATTCAGTGCGAGCTCAGGAACACTCCTTACCCTCCCCAGAAGTGGACCGTTGACTGCGTCTCCTCCACCGACCCCATTCACATCATCCTCAAACCCCCAAGCTCGACGTCGATGGCCGCCGCGCTCGATCCCTCGGTCAAGAACGCGAAAAGGGTCTCTCTCTTCTACTGCTCCGAGATGAAGGATCTCGCCCACAGGATCGCCTCTGAGTCCGACGCCATTGAGCTTCGCAGCATCAGCTGGGGGTAATTTGTTTTTCACTGTTCAATTCAATATTCCTCTTGTATTTTTGTTGGTCAATTGTGTTTGTTTCTGTTCGATTAAGCGTGTTTTAGCTTGTGTTAAGAAGCATTAGCTGGGGGTACTTTGTGTTTCCACTGTTGAAATCATTTTTTCTCTCGTCTTTGTGTTGGGGAGTTGGGTATGTTTCTGTTGGGTTAAGCATGTTAATTGTTTGATGATTCGAATCCATTTAGGACATTTGAGGATGGGTTTCCCCAGCTGTTCATATCCAATGCTCAAGGTGTTCGTGGGCAGCACGTGGCTTTCCTAGCTTCATTCAGCTCGCCTGGAGTTATATTCGAGCAGTTGTCAGTTATATATGCCCTGCCGAAGCTCTTTGTAGCATCTTTCACGCTTGTACTGCCGTTTTTTCCGACGGGCACATCAGAACGTATGGAGGATGAAGGGGACGTTGCCACAGCATTCACGCTTGCGAGGATCTTGTCCAATATCCCGATCAGTAGAGGCGGGCCCACAAGCTTAGTAATTTTTGATATTCATGCTTTGCAGGTGATTGTACTTTTGTATGTGGTGATGAACTTCACAGTGTTCGTTTTTCGGCTGTCTTTTGTTTATTTGTTTATTTTATTCGGTTTAATATAATTTGTTGCACTTTTTTTGTGCATTGTGCAGGAGAGATTCTATTTTGGTGATAATATTTTGCCGTGCTTCGAGAGTGGTATACCGATGCTATTGAATAGGCTGCAACAGCTTCCTGATTCTGACAATGTAACATATTCTTCATTTCTTCTTGTTTTGGCGTGGACCAATCGGTGTCTATATAACTTTCTTTTGAAGATATCCTATGGCTCAATTTTAAATGCATGTATTTTTTTTCTTTTGGTGTGCCATTTGAAAAAGTAGATCTCGAAAGAAAATCATATTACTGCCTCAAGTGACAATTTAATTTCAAGAAGTTTATGCTCCATTCTTCTTCTCCCCACAATTCTACATACATTGCAGCCGAATTGATTTAGTTAACTATAGAGATAATGTGAACATGTGTCCGCCTAAACAACATATGATATTATGTATTATTATCAAAAAAAAAAAAAAAATCTGTTTTCCTCTGTCTAGATAACAATAGCCTTCCCAGATGATGGTGCATGGAAAAGGTTCAACAAGCAGCTACAGCACTTCCCGATGGTATTTCTCTTAGATTGCTCAGCACTGATCAATTATCCAAGATATTTCATTGAGTATATTTTAACAATCATGCTGCTACACGTGCTTTGGCTTGGTGCAAAGACCAATGCATGATCTGTAATATATGTATTTTGCACCAAGATTATCATGCAAATGAATTTGCGTAAATTTCTTGATTTTATCGGTAGGTTGTTTGTGCCAAAGTTAGGGAAGGTGATCAAAGAATCGTGAGAATTAAGGAGGGTGACCCAAAGGGACGTCACGTTGTGATAGTTGATGACCTTGTCCAGTCAGGTGGCACTCTAGCCGAGTGTCAGGTAAAAAAAAATTTTAAGAGTTTGTGCCGAAGTTGAATATTTCAGTATAGGAAAAAACAAAAAGGATAAGAAGTTTTTTAGGATAGTGAAGGGAATATACATCATTCGATAATCTTATTGGTTACTCAGCAAATTGTGAAAGGTGTGCTTTGTACAGTAGCTACATCTTTTAACTTCTTGTATTGGTCCTGCTCATGAAGAGAGCATAGATTTCCGTTGATCTGCGACTAACCATTTGCTTACATACTACTAATGAAGATTTTTGCAAGTTTAAAGCCATTGTTAATATTTACAAAATTCTATTGCAATCTTCAATTTTTGTTTTTACATATCGAGATGCCTCTCTACTCGGATATTTCTTTTTTCCAGAAAGTGTTGGCAAAACATGGAGCTGCAAAGATAAGTGCTTACGTGACTCACGGAATATTCCCCAATAAGTCTTGGGAACGGTTTAAACATGATGAAGGAGGTACTCGCGTGCTAAAAACTCCACTTATATTAAAGTCATTGTTGTGGTCCGTAGCTTAAATCCCAACTGCCATCAAGGCTATGTTTGGTAAATAAGCTAGTTTATAGCTTATTTGGTTTGCTTATAAGCTTCCTGTGTTTAAATAAGTTTCGGTTGGTCGGACGGACTTTTTTAAAAAGCTCGAGCTTATCTCATAAGTTTCTTTTCTTTGGGTAGCTTTTCAAATAAGCTCGTTGAAATTTTTATTTTAGCTAGCTTATTAGCTAATTTTACCATAACACTTTTATGATATAAGTTAGCTTTTTCAGCTATAAGTCATAAGCTATAAGCTATAAGCTCTAAAATCACTATTAGCTAGCTAGTTAGCCTAGTTTTATCAAACATAGCTTAAAAATCTTTCGGTAATGCAAAATTTGGTGACCTTTGCATGCATTTAAATAGATGGGCAGCTCTACATTGCCTATAATATGATGAACTGAACATTTTTTTTTTTTTTTTCTTTTTGCTGTATTAAAGCTAGCCTTTGCCACAATACACAATCATGAGCGTTTAGATAAGTTTTCACCTTCTTCATCCTCAGAAGCTTACGCTCAACAAATGGCTTGCCTTTTAATTAGACGGTTGATAGTTACAAAAGATCTGTCTTTTCTTTTTGTTGCTCGATTGGAAATGGCTTCAAAGATTGTTATAAATTGATAATTGTTAATATTTGCTTTTTACCAAATCACGATGGTTTTTATCTTAGGGAACCCTGAGAGTGGAATGAGTTACTTTTGGATAACGGATTCATGCCCGGAGACCGTGAAGCAGGTGAAACACAAGCGGCCGTTTGAGGTTATAAGTCTTGCTGCTGCCATAGCATCTGCACTGCAGATTTAAGTTTGTTTTTACATTTTTTTGTTACTAATAAAACACTTGAGGATCTTTTGCTTTCTCTCTTACTTGTTACTTTTCGCCACTGTATTTATGTTGNAGAAAAGTTAGTTAACCAAGATAAGAAAAAATATCTAGCAACAAATCAAGGTAGTGGATTTTACTATTGTTCCTCACAAATTATTTTCAAGGTTTATAGGCTTGGATCCAATTGTGAGTAAAACTTTACAATTGAATGGATTTACATGGAAAATAGTCAATAGGGGGGCAATCTTATAAATTGACCATCTTTTCATTCGATTTCAAGGAAAGTGATTCATGCCTAGTAGTCCTTCATAGAAAAATCTAATAATCTATTTGATTAATGACCATGGTTTGATTCTTATAAAATTTAATCTCATTAGAAAATTAATTTTGTAAGTTTTTCAGTTCGTCTCAAAGTTTCGAAAAGATCTACATCATTTTTATAATTTGGCTCAAAAGTAACTATTAATGCAATAATAATTCTTTGTGTATCAATTGTTCATTTTGTGTATTTTTAGGCAAATTATTAATCTTATAACTTTGTCACTTTTTTTTTAAAAAAAAAAAATATATATATATATATATATAATAATTTGGGAGGTAAAAGAAAGGTTTGCTTCATTTATTATTTAAAGCTTGTTGACAAACACTTCATATTTAACAAAAACATCCAAAGAAAGCTTTTGGACGATTACATAACCAATTCAGATACTTTTAACAATTTATAACTCACAAAGTTACATTATATATTGTACTTCAGGGTACTTTACTATCGTTTTACATATTATCTATTTTATTTAATTATAAATACGATAATAAGCTTAAATTCAACATTTTTTTTTAATGTTCATGTCATGATTCGAGTTATCAGCTTAAATTCAACTACATTTTTTTTCTTCCTAATGTTCATGTTATGATTCGAGTCACATTTATGGTTTATATAATTACGGTTGGATATATAATACTACTATTCGCGTTTTTCTCCACAATCTATATCTATATAAAGAGGAGGAACACAATTAATAATATTATTTTACTTTCCCTTCAAAATCGGTTACAAAATATTTAATTTATTTATTTTTTCTTTATTCATCTCAATTGTGTAATTTTTTTTATCACCTCTTCAGTATGTAACAATCATTATTTGATCTGATCTGGAAGAATTCATACTTATTTCTTTTTCAATTTTCATTAATCTTTGATTACATAAAAATAGTTTTATACAATAATTCAAATTCCAAAATGATGTAATGCTCATTCTATCTGACAGGATTCATGCCTATTTTCCTTTTCACTCTACTTATTTGTTGAATGATTATAACAAAATAATTATTTATATATGTATTATATATATATATATATTCAAATTTTTTTATGCTTGAGTACGTAAAAATGATTCACACAATAATTCAGATTTCAAAATTACAAAATCAAATAATTAAGAAATAAAACTAAAAGTATCCAGTCATCTATTTCAAAATATCCACCTACAAGAAAAAAAACAATATACTTAATTGTATAAATCATTAATAATGAATTATATTTCAAATACCAATATATCTCATTATCATGTTGCCATATTCTAATTTTATATATTTTTTCTTAATCTCAATCCAAATGTTATGGTGTAATATGATGTTACTAATGTCATTTAACTAAAAAGTATTACCTAATCAAGAAATGTCAAATTTTCTATGACGTTATATTAAAATATTGTATATAAAATATAAATGTTGTGTAATTTTTTTTTAATAATATTTAGAATTCTTTTCCTAATTAACATTTTTTTTGAATTAAATTATAATTTAGTATTTTTGTTTTTCTTATTTTTTTTTTCTATGAATTTGTATCTGTGTAAATGACTAAATGTACAGGTTGATTACTAGTCCCATATCAAAAAGGAAAATTCAAAATACCAAAAGAAAAAGAACAGAAAATCGTTGGGAGAGGACGACGGAAAATGGCGGGACAACGCCGAGCCCTTCCTTCCACCAGCTCCGATTCGGAAAACACGCCGCGAAAATCACAGATCTCGTCCGCCATAGACCAATGGGAGGTTCAGTACTCGCGGTTCGTTTGCAACAGCTCGTGCACCAATAGCCGCACTCACCCCTCGCTGTCGCCCATCCCCAAGCACCGCGCCGGGACCTGGATATCGGCCGCCGCCGCCTCTCTCAAGCTGGAGTACCGCCGTTCTTCCGACGGCGCGTGCGACGCGGTCATCGTCGTCTCCATCCCGCATCACGTCCTCGTAAGTGCGAAAATCACTTCAGTCGAGCTCGCAGTTTTTGCCGTTTTGTTAGTGATTTATGAAATTGTTGCGCCTGTTTTAATTGCTTCTGTTGGTATAATCAGATCGATTGAGCTCGTGATTGTTGAATTTGTAGCGAATGCTTATAGTTTTGGGTGTTGCAGAGTTCATTACTGTACTTGGATGAATGGATTCTAGCGGTTTATATACCTTTGGTGCAATAGATTTTCCAATATGACACATACACAATTCTCTGTGCGTGTGTGTGTGTTTTTTTTTTTCCAAGTATTTGTATGGATATCGTGCATTTTCTGATGAATTTTGAAGGAGGAGCACTATGTGACCAAGATGAATTTCTCCTGGCCTCAAGTATCGTGTATATCCGGATTTCCTGCACGGGGGAGCAGGAGTGTTTTTCTGAGCTATAAAGATGGTGTTGGACAGGCAAGCATATGCTTGAGTACATTAATGTCTTTTGTTATTTTCTTGTTTTTTTCAGAGAAATGTGTGATTTCGTAAATGGAGATAGAGATATTAAGGGGGAATTGGAGAACACAGAAACTTTCCTCCAAATAACGGGTTTACTTTGAGTACAGAAGATAATAGGTCCTACATTTACCGGAAACCCATTTTGTGAGATGATTATAGTTGTTTTAGATGGAGAAACAGTTCATTGCACTTGGTGGCCCTTCTTAGTTTTGACTAGCAAACATCAAAACTGGTTTTGAAATTCAAGAGACAGAATGCTTATGAAGATCATCATGGAAATATAGCTGTAGAGTTTTTCTAATTTCTCAGTCTTGAGTTTTTTTATCGTGCTTAGGTTTCTGGTACTCTTCTGTTGTGTCAAAAATATACTTCAACAGTTCAACTTGATCTGGTCATGTAACAAGACGAGTTGCTTCCGGCTAGCTGATATAGCAATATCCATAATGAATCTTGCAGCACCACCTGGAACATAATTCTTCAACTGTCTTAAAACTTAAAACTGGGGTTATGCTTCTTTTGCAGATGCAGAAATTCGCTCTACGGTTCTCTGCCATCCACGATTCAGAAGCATTCATGGCTCTTGTGAAGGTACGTGAATTACTAAAGACAATCTTGGCTACAAACTTGATGCGTTTGTTGTATCACAAACTTGGTAGAGATTCATTGTTTTCTTAAAAACGTGACCTCAGGAAATCATGGAAAGGGTAAAAACCGAGCTGCTTTCGGGCCCTGTATTTGAATCCAATATATCATCCAAACATGAGGTTATATCTTCTAATGAACCTGCAGACAGGCAAGCAACCTGGAATTGTCTCGGTACCTTCTGATTGTTGACAGAGAGAAAACCAAGGATGAAAATGAAATTTGATGTGCTGATTTTAAATTGCAGGCACAATATGGATAAGAAGTGGAAAGCATCAAAAGTCAATAGTAGCCAAGTTATGCTTCTTAGCTCTAAACTCAATCAAGCTAAAGATTCAGAATCTCTTGAAAGGATTGTAGACAATGAAGCTGCCGAGGCAGTGCCTGTGCTTCCTTCAAGTTTCTCACAGTTAATGAAGAACTGTTGCCCTGCAGTTTCAGAAGGTTGTTTACTTGTTTAGTTTACACTGTCATATTAGACTCTGCACTAAGTTGTTCATGTAATTGTGTACTCACTATTTCAACTCATTATCTTGTAGCAGAAAAGCCAAAAGAACTTCAAGGCGATCCCAAAATCCAGTTCATGGTAGAGGCTAAAATTTGTTCACATACGATTAACATTTTTTTTTTTGGCAAAATTTAATGTCGGTGTGAAGGAATTTTCCACTAATTGTATATTTTTTTATTGCTTCTGCAGAAATACCTGGAGGGAACTTCTTTTACTGGTAAACAAACAATATCTCTTGTTTCTTATCTGTTATGCATTTGCTATTTAACCTAATGAACAGCCTTGGTTTTCTTTGTATTTTCAGATTTGTTGGCTACAGTAGAGGATGTTATCGCTGTCTTGGAAGGAGATATGGCGCTGTAGATCTGCTGAAAAGAGGAGCCGCGGCCGCTTGAGTAAAACCAAACTTTTATTAGAGCTAATATTCAGTGCAACAAGTTTATCAATGTAACTCTCTCCTTTTATATCATTACAAAATTTTCTCTCTGCCACTATGTGACAGAAAGAAGAAAAAAAAAAAAAGAACAGTAAAATGCAGGGAACATGAAGACAATTTTACTAGGATCGGTATCCTGATGGTGTGTCTCGTGCAACTATATTAACCGAACAAATAATGAAAATAAACAAACACCGTTCAGTTAACGACCCGACACTGTCTCCTTATCTCCCCTTGATCCCCCGTGAGCACCCCGAGTCCCCCCACTTTAATAACAGCCGCCACAAACTTCTCCAGCCATCCTTTCTGATCGTCCGCGTACTTCCTCATGATAACATTCGCGCTCGGCTCGTTCACCAGGTTCTGGTCCGACTCCAGCAGTGACCGGTTCTTAAGCATCTCCTTATAGAACCTCGAGTCCATCTTTTGCTGCGTGAGCGGGTCGAACGCCAGTTCCTGCGTCTCGTTCACGCACGCCGTCATCACCTGCATCTTCATCAAGTAGCCTCGGTCGATCGCCGCCGTCTTTCCTGGGTCCCGAAACCTCCCGGCCACAACCGTGCAGTGGGCCGACCCAACCGAGTGGGCCCCGATAAGCACGACCATCTCCTCCACGGTCAAATCCCTGACCTCGAACATACGTATCATCTCCCGGGACGTTGTCTCGGGAAACGGAAGCCCGTCCTCGGCATCCTTCATTAGGGAGGCCCGTGAGTCCCGCCGGCCTGCGGGGACAGGGTAGGTCGGGACCCCCGTGAAGACGAGGGAGTCGCGGTTCGCGAAGGCGAGGAGGTCCGCGCACGAGACCACGCCGGGGCACTCGGACTCGAGCCGCGCCTTGGCCTCGTCGAGGGGCTCGAAACCCCGGACAAACTTTCCGTTCTGTGGGGCCTCTTTCTCCACGGGCCCGCCAGTGGGGGTCCGGTCTAGTAGGATCGAGGCGTCGCAGCCCTGCGAAAACGATGGATTTATAAATAAAACACTTATTTACCTACTAGAAAACAACCAGTAACAGCCGACTCATAGGAGCTATACATATATAGCTGAATCCAGTGGGTGGACTACACTGACGATAGTTAATACTTCCTCCTATTTTTAATAAATGTCATTTTGAGAAGTTGCACAACAATTAAGAATCTTTTCTTTGTCAATAATAATCTTCATTAATGAGAATAGAGATGGATGTTTTGAGAAAAGATGAAAAGTGAATATGAAAAGACGTAGTGTATTATTAGCTAGATGAGGATAATAATGAAAAAATATGTACAAAAGATCCAAAATGTCATTTATTTGGTTAATTGTTGATAAAACCAAAATTACATTTAAAAAAAATAGGAAGTAGTAGAATTTATAAATAGAACACTTATTTACAGTCTAGAAAACTCTAATAACAGCCGACTCAAAGCAGCTATATACAATATGGGAGGTCTACACTGAACAAGTAAATCTTACCGTGATGAAACAATCGTGGAAAAACAGGCGGATGAGAGCCGGAGCAAAAGTCGGGTCCTTCTGGAAGTTGGTGTTAATAACCTCGCTAACGATCTTCTCGGCCTGCGGGCAGCTCTGCTGGTAGAATCCCTCTACCAGTGCCCCTGGCTTGGGCTTGGGTATATGGGCCAACGGTATCGGCTCCTGTTGTTGTTGTTGTTGGGCTCTGTTTTTGGACCCATCCGCGGGCTTGGGGACTGCCGGGTTACTTTGACCTTGTTCTTCCCCATCTCCTTTGGGCTTCTGCATACCAGGCTGGAGCAGGCCCGGGAGTGACTCACCGCCCTCGATGCCCCTTATGATTCTGGCAACGTCGTCGAGATTTTGTGGTGGGTGGTTGATGATGTCGTCAAGGCCTGGGACAAGCGGTTGTTGCATTGCGGAGACCAGCAACGGGAGGAATATTGCGCACAAAAGAAGATTCCTCCCTCTGGAGGACATTTTTCTCTAATTTTCGGGTTTACGATGCTCTCCATTGAGCGGCTGGACAGAGCGGAAAGGTGTTTATAGAAGTTGCTGTGAGGTTGGCAGTGATTTTAGGTCTAATAATGGAAGAAAAAAATGGATGGAGAGGTTGGAGGAGCATGTTGTTGTATATATATAGGCAAAGTTGAGTGGTTTGTAGAAAATTTGTGCAACGGTAGATTTTCTATTTACATAAAATGAAGTTGATAAAAAGTTTGTGTTGTTTTGAATCTAATATTAATGCATGGGGAAGAAAGAGCAACATGTCATTGTGATTCTCTTAAAAACGATAATTATTATATTATAATGTGGGTATTGAATTGAATTATAATTAGGCGGTCATATTATTTTAATATGTATACATACTTTCGTACTCAAATATCATACTTTAGAATAGAGTATAAACAAAATTATGAAATTTCAGGAACTAAATATATATTTTTGCAAGAAAGTATTTATATCATTGTTCAACAGTAACTAGTCAATTTGTCGGTAAACTTTATGTATATTATGTTATAAAATGAAACCACATTTTTTTTTTAGAAATGTTATATGTACATAATATATGTACATAGAGGTGTACATAACACTTACATGGAGTAGGGTCCACTTGATTTTTTATTTTTGGTAGATTCCATGTGAATATTATGTAATAATGTAAACCCTTATATACAATATACCTATAGTATTTCTCTCTCTCTTTTTATTTTTATGCATTCTTGGAGTTGTTTCGGTGTTTATGTTTAGGCGATAAGTTAAAATACTTATTTTTTTCTACAAATTAAAGTTTGGAAGGATGAATATATTTATTATTGAAAAAGAATCATAAATATACAAATTAAAACGAAAGCGCAATTTTTCTCTAAAACGTATTAATCCCTTGGGCCTAAATAGTTGGGCATACATATCTATACTTATATAAAAGGAGATTCTATTTACTACAAATATTATCCAGAAAAGTCAATTGCATTTAATGCTATTACTATTTCGGTATTAGAATATTTTATTTAATTATTTTGTTTATTTGGTTTATATCCCATACAAATCCTATCTAATTATTTAATTATTTAATTATTTTGTTTATTTATTTATTTAATTATTTAAATAAAGGTCAACTTTTATTTGTTTATTTAATTATTTAATTAAAAGTCAACTTCATTGTAAACCTAATAACATAAGTAAACCTAATAAGTAAACTTTTACAAATATTATAAAAAACATAAACCTAATAAGTAAACCTATTGCTACAATATTAAAATGTCTCATTTCAACCTAATAAGTTACTTAAACCTATTGCTACAATATTATGTTATTGTCCGATTAATGTACCAAATACGTAGGATTTTAATGTAACAAGGATTTGGCTGAAAGAATATACTTAATGAATTAGCAGATAATAATGTCATTTACACTTAATGTAACAAGGATTTGGATTCACATAATACTTGCCTAATTTAAAATATGATTTTAAGGATTTTATATACTTAATGTAAATGAGTAGATATCGAAAAATTGGTCATTTACACTTGGACCAGTTTAAAAATTACTCCTTAAATGAAAGAATTTATAGATAATTATTATTTCTACTCAATCACATGATTATTTTTAATATAAAAAAAGACATATTACAAATTAGTGAATTATATATTACCTAATTCAATATCTTAACATTAAGGAATAAATCCATAGTATTATCTAAATCCATCTCATATTATTATATCATTAAGAATATATTATAGTTATATTATCAAATCATAAAAAGATATTAAATCCATGTTGTAAAAAAAATAATTCATATAATTTTATAACAATTCTACTACACTATTTAACAGTATTCTTTTTTATTATATAATAAAATAATAATTAAATATTATATGGTGAACAACAATAAGTAAAACTATTACGTTCTCTTATATTAAGAGATAAATTTATATGCTAAAATTAAGTATAAATGTTTTAGTGAGATCATATATTAATTATTTACAAGCTAGCCTTAACATGCTCATGTTTAATGTTCTGGCTAAAAAAACAATGCTAGTTAAAAGATGTGGAAAAAAACTTATAATAACGTCATATTGTTTTTTAGACTTAAAAGAGGTAGAAAATAGATAATAACCCTATTATTTTTTAGACATAAACAGACAAGACTGTAAAAATAACTCATTTAATATCTCGTCCCCTGCATCGTGGGTACGTACTAGTTGGCCTTAACAACAAGCCCAGAATTAAAACGGGCCTTACCGTAATGGCTCCGAACTAAAATCTAAATCTGACCCGACGACCCGGAAATTTCAACGATGTCGTTGTTATGTGCAGAAATGCCAGAAAACACCACACACAGTAACTTCTCTCACAATCTCCATCGAACTGTTTGACGGAAAAATGACGCCGATCTTAGTATCCTTCAAATCCTCAAACAACTAACGAATCGCCGCCGGATCCCGTAGCCTTCTTTTACGATCAGCTCGTGATCCGCGGTCGCCGTCTGCAATTGAATCAGTGGTCGAAGAAATTGGAAACAAATCAGCTCGGAAAGGGGAAATGGCGGGAGCAGCGTCGGCGCTGTTCCTACTGGACATAAAGGGTAGGGTTCTGGTGTGGCGTGACTACCGCGGCGACGTCTCCGCCGTGCAGGCCGAGCGCTTCTTCACCAAGCTCATCGAGAAGGAGGTGAAGTTTTTTTTTTCGTGATTTCCTGTGCAAAATGCTTTTTAGTAGGAAATGGTTTGCTCGATTTTAAGATTTGATTTGAATCATGGAGCTGCAGTGAGATGAATAGGGTGTATTTGTTCGTTTTTCAAGCTTGATCTGATATTTGGCTTTCTGATTTGATGTGACCTGGTGATTTAGCTACTTTGTTTATTTATACGGGGGTGTGATTATCAAAACTGAGTGAATTTTATGTCTGCTGCAGTTTTCATTGTATTGGTGTATAAGCCCACTTTTAAAGGCATCATTTTTATGAACTACTGTCTACTGGACTAGTTTAGTTTTGCTGGATTTATTAGTGTTTTCGTACTAATCCATCTCATCAGTAGGTTTCTTGTTTCTAATGGACCACACGACTAAATTGTTTTCATAAATGATGGTGTAGGGTGATCCAGAGACTCAGGATCCTGTTGTATATGACAATGGAATCACATACATGTTCATACAACACAACAATGTTTATCTCATGACAGCATCCCGGCAGAATTGCAATGCTGCTAGCCTTCTTCTTTTCCTACACCGAGTAGTTGATGTAAGCTTTTCATTATATTTGGTTTATATAGTTCAGTGCACTACCTGTATGAGTTTCTCTAAGAGTTTCGTTTGTCCGAATTTTCATGACAGGTCTTTAAACATTACTTTGAAGAGTTGGAAGAAGAATCGCTTAGGGATAATTTTGTTGTAGTGGTACGTTAGATACATTGCCTCCTTTTCTCTATGCTTTCTATTCCTTTTTTTCTTTCTATAGCAGTATTTAGCAGCTGATGCGTGGTATCCTTAGTACGAGTTACTTGACGAGATTATGGACTTTGGCTACCCACAATATACTGAAGCCAAGATCCTTAACGAGTTCATCAAGACTGATGCTTACAGAATGGAAGTGGCACAGAGGCCTCCAATGGCAGTTACAAATGCGGTGTCATGGCGCAGTGAAGGGATACGCTACAAAAAGAATGAAGTAAGTTTCTCTTAATGTGGCAAGTAATACATATGTTTCTACTATATATTTATATGCCTTTTTTGGTTGTATAGGTTTTTCTAGACGTTGTGGAAAGTGTCAATATCCTGGTCAATAGTAATGGCCAGATAATTAGGTCGGACGTTGTCGGGGCACTAAAGATGCGGACATATTTGAGGTTCGTTCCCTCCTCTTTTACCACACTCTGCATTATGTTCTGTAACTTGGAAGATTTCCATGCATTAAAGAGATTCATGGATTTTTAGAAGTCTACCTGTTTATGCTTCCGTTTAGTCTACCTTCAGACTTCCATGATCAGCCATGTAATTGTAATCAACAAATTTTTCTGAAGGAGATGCGGTTTGATGTATTTATGAAACTTTGGTAGTCTAAATATATGCTACATTCATTGCAGTGGTATGCCTGAGTGTAAGCTTGGGCTGAACGATAGAGTTTTGCTTGAGGCACAAGGGAGGGCAACTAAAGGAAAAGCCATTGATCTGGATGACATCAAGTTTCATCAGTATGTAATTAATCTTCCTTTCTTTTCTTTTTGTTTCTTTTTTTATTTATTTTTTTTAATGGATAATTTGGAGAAGACTATCATTGAAAGCTAAACTATTTTCCAGCCAAAAGATTGATTTAGACTTGGTTCTTCTACATGAGATCTAATCTAATTTCTTTCTCTACTTCTCTTTTTGTTTATCTCATGTATTCATTATCAAAGTTGCGTTTTGATTGATTGATGCAAGTTGGTAATTTGTTCGATTGTTGATACACATATCGCCATTGAGGACGTAATACCCTGTTTGATTGATTGTTCTAGTATTTGTGGCAAATAGCAATAATGACTACAAGGGTTTTTGATTGTATGCGAGGGAGATATGATATAGTTTAATAAGCCTACATGTGATTACGTTTGCTAGAATTGGTCCTTCATGATTTTAATTAATGTTGTTGATAGATTAAATCATATATATATGATATTTAAATGAGCCTACATGTGCATATGTTTGCTAGAATTGATAGTCCTTCATGATTTTAATGTTGTTAATAGATTAAATCCTATGACCGTATCTAGGTTGTTTGTTGATTAGGGAAATAATTAGGGATCGTATCCCGATTATCGAATAAGGAAGGACGGGTTGTTAGATCGTTCGATCATCATAATCTGTTTAATTCAGAGTTGCAGAGAATTTATCTTGGCATTAGTGATCGAATAGTTAGTGAAGTTTCTAGAATATATATATATCAAACGGCGCAATGCAACTTGGGTCGCTACGGAAACAACCTCCTTGTATAATTACAAGGGTAAGGTCTGACCCCCCAGACCCCAACCTGTTGGGAATATACTGGGTATGTTGTTGTTGTTGTTGTTGTTGTAGTGATCGAATAGTTGAAACATTTATATAAACTTTTCCTTTGGTTGGGATAGTTTTCTTATTTGATCCACTCTATATGTTGCTCGTCGCTTTTCCCATTAGCTTTCATTTTTATTTAAGTTAGGGACATCAAAATATCAAAACTCCCATCTTTGTTTTTTTCCTTTCACGGATACTCACATCAATCCTTGCCACTACTACAATTTTAAATTTGTACGAGTGGGATTTCATTATTGTTGGTTTCAACATCTACCAATTTTTGGTATTATATAATTGCCTTCAATTTTAAATAACTGAATCAGCTATTTTAGTGTGGAAACATTGGAATTATATGTTTCTGAGAAAATCTCTCATACAATAGAAGTGCCTGTGTGTGTATAAGGGCACGTGGAATTATGTGATTATGTTTATTGGTACCATCCACAGACCTTACTTAATTCAACTACTTGTTATTGATTCAGGTGTGTGCGCTTGGCTCGATTTGAGAATGACCGGACGATATCCTTCATTCCTCCTGATGGATCTTTTGACCTCATGACCTACAGGCTCAGCACTCAGGTTTGTTTATGCAATTGGGATATAACACTTTGATTGTAGCTCTTATTCAAATTCTCTAAATTACAGTTGAAGTATGGAGAAAAAAAATAATAAAATGATCCACTGTGCAAAGATTTGATTTGATTTTTTTTTTTTGTTTTTCACTATCAAATCTTTTTATTTTAATCCCTGAAAAATCTTGTCGAAACAAGGGTATAAAAAATAAATTCTAATTTTCATCTTGGAATGATGGGTCCATTTAGAAAGAGACTAGCATTTATTCATATGTGATTATCTCTTAAATCAGCGTTTGGCTATGTTTCTTCTCAGGTAAAGCCTCTAATATGGGTTGAAGCCCAGGTAGAAAGGCACTCTAGGAGCCGCATAGAAATTACGGTAAAAGCCAGGAGCCAGTTTAAGGAGCGTAGGTAATTTTCTACTGATCATATCTTTTGCATGATGTGTTCATTTATTTTCCATTCTTAGTTAAATAATTAATTATACTTTATATATCTGCAATTTTCACCGTCAAAATTGTTCCAAAATTCAGCACTGCAACTAATGTCGAAATTGGGTTACCCGTCCCACAAGATGCCACCAATCCAAATGTCCGTACATCAATGGGTTCGGCCGCTTATGCTCCAGAGAAAGACTCGTTGGTTTGGAAAATAAAATCTTTTCCCGGTGGCAAGGTGAGCGTTATTTTCTGAACTGATATTTTTCTTTTTCTTTTTTTTTCTTTTTCTTTCGGCTGGCTGGCTGGCTTTTGGTGTTAAAACCATAACTATCTGAGTTTGATGTTTTGCTCTTTTTTTTTTTAATTTTTTTTTCTAGGAGTATATGTTGAGGGCAGAATTTAGGCTTCCCAGTATAACATCAGATGAATCGGGCCCAGAGAGGAAGGCGCCTATACATGTGAAGTTTGAAATACCATATTTCACTGTTTCAGGCATACAGGTCAGCCTCAAATGATATTTTCTATCAAAATATTATTATATATTCATCTAGTTATCTAATACTCTATGCAATTTTTTTTTTTTTTCCCCCCTTTCCTTTTGGTCTTTCCTTTTCTTTTCGTGTTTTGGGGTTTGGGTCCTTGTAACTGCAGTCCTTTTTGTGAGACTATTTAAAGCTGAAATTTAATTATAATTAGCTGTACAAAATCAAATAATAGAAAGTTGGGGTTTTGTAGGTTCGGTACCTGAAAATCATTGAAAAAAGTGGGTATCAAGCTCTGCCATGGGTGAGATACATAACAATGGCTGGTGAATACGAGCTGAGACTTATTTGATTTGATTGGCTGCTTTTGCCTAATTCGCGTTACTCGTGAGGCTTTTGTTTCCCCTTAAATCTTTCGTGTTGCTGTTTGTATAATGGAAACTTGTGATTGCTTGGTCGCATTTTTTAATTAAAAGCGCTGCTCGTTTTGGATATAGTCACAATTTTTTGCATGTTTTGTAGAGACCAAAAGGTATTATATTTGATTCGTTTGGTACAAGGTTTCATCAGGTGATAATTTGTATTTCCAGAGAAAATTGTTTGTTCAGATATTGGCTCTTTTATTCGCTTTTACTCATGCACTTGCTTGGCGATGTTTACTTCATATTTTCACAAAGCGATGAAGTTATTGTTAGTTTATATATATCTTTTTAAAATGTTTTTCTTCTGATGAGCCATTTATCAATTTGGTAACTGGATAATACATATATGGCCTCATAACAAAAGTTATTGACATAAAGACCGACAAATTTTTCTGCAGAATGTACAATGCCATTGCCCAACAATCTTGATAGTAGGTTGTAGTTGGAAATTAAAATTTTGAAAGTGAAAAAGAAAATTATTTTATTAAAAAATTGAGATATGTTAGAGATGTTGAGTGGATACAACTATACAAGTTAAAATACATTGATATCATTATAAATGTAATTTAATATTAATTGATACAATAACTCGAGCTGAAATAATTTTAGAATAGTTTAATGTTAGTTGATAAGGGATGGTAGTTTGAAATATGCAACGATTGGAGTTGATTGATATAATAATATTAATTGATAATGACTAATAGTTAAAAATATATAAACTTTTGGACATTGTTTTTATTAGATATTGTATAATCAAATATGTTATTAGATTAAGGTGTTGGTACAAAGTTGTAATTTTCCTATTCTAGCCTTATTTAGCATATTTAGTCCCATGGTATAAATACCCAATTGAGACTTGTAAAAGATAATTAATTCATTCATTATTTTCAATACAGTTTTTATCTTTTCTCTCTTCTCGGGTTCTCTCTTTCTCTCTGTGTACAGAAACCCTAGATCTATCATGGTATCACTCGCCGGATAATCGATCCGTTTTCCGCTGCTTTTCTCGTCGTTCTTCGTCGCACATCTCAGAGGCGATCTATATTTCTCTCGTGTTTTTCGATCTATGGCTGCCAATCTCAATCCTTCGGACGATCCGACTTCGCCGTACTTCTTACACGCCAGCGACAACCCCGGCGCTCTTATTGTTGCCGATCTGTTCAACAGCGACAACTATGTTTCCTGGTCGCGCGCGGTGGTCATGGCCTTGAGTGTCAAGAACAAAGGCGGTTTTATTGACGGTACTCTTACTCCTCCATCGTCGACTGGTAACCCTAATCTCTATGTCTCTTGGTCGCGTGCTAATAACGTGGTCCTTTCATGGCTTCTTAACTCGATCTGCAAAGAGATTCGACAATCTCTATTATTTTTTACTTCTGCATCTGATGTGTGGGTTGAGTTGAAGAATCGTTATTCTTTGAGTAGTGGACCTAGGGTTTTTCAATTGGAGAAATCACTTAGCACTATTGATCAAGGATCTATGTCGGTTACTCAATACTATATTGTTTTCAAAGCCTTATGGGATGAATACCTCACATATAGGCATCTGATTAAATGTAACTGTGGTGCTTTCAATTCGTGTACATGTGGTATTTTTGATGCTATGTCTGTATCTCAGTAGAATGATTCTGTGATGAAGTTTTTAGTTGGCTTGAATGATTCTTTTTCTGCCTTGAGAAGCCATTTCTTGTTGGCCACACCTATCCCCTCTCTTTCCAAACTTTATTCCCTCCTTCTTCAAGAGAAATCCCAAAGATCTCTGCACAACACCTCTGGCCCTTCTGATTCTATGGTCATGCTTGCCAAAACCAATCACCCTCAGTTCAAACAACAACCTCAACCACAAAAACCATACAACAAAGACAGAAAGAAACTCAAATGTTCAGATTGTGGATATAATGGCCATACTGCAGACAAGTGTTTTCAAATCGTAGGATATGCAGCCAACTGGCTTGGTCCTAAAGGCCCAAGACAAAATTCCCAACATCATTCTGCCAACTTAACTCTCACAGACTCTGTTGCTAATACTGATACATCAAATTCCATTACTAATGATCTTTTTTATGAGTTCATGGCTTTCAAGAGATCTTAGGATGCTAAAAAGAGTAATCAAGGACCATCTGTGTCTAATTCTATTGTGGCCACTGCTTTACCAAATATTTCAGGTACATCTACTCCAATTTCTTGCATAGCATCTAGAAATCTGTGTAAGAATACTTAGATATTAGATACAGGTGCCACTGACCACATGATATGTGACATGTCATTTTTTACTTCTCCTCCTACTCATGTCAATATAAACATTAATTTGCCAAATGGTAATCATACTCAGGCAACTCTTAAAGGCAATATTCAATTTTCATCATCTATTGTGCTTTATGATGCCTTGTATGTACCTAGCTTTCATTTTAATCCGGTCTCTGTTTCTAAACTGGTTTCATCCAACAATTGCATGGTCCAATTCTTGTCATCTCACTGTATGTTACAGGATCTAACCAACCAACAAATGATTGGTTCTGCTGATTTGAGAGATGGTCTTTATCACTTGTCATTTACTCTTGAGCATCATATAAACTCTGTAACCTCTGCACATTTACGTGTACCTTCTCATACAAACTCTGTAACCCCTACACATTTACCTGTAATTGGTGCAACAAATGCTACTGTTGATCCTGTCACATGGCATCATAGATTAGGCCATTTGTCCTACTCAAGACTGCAACAATTACATCTTACTACTGATTCATGTACAGACTTATCTTCTAAACCATGTGATGTTTGTCATTTTGCAAGACAAAAGAAACTTTCTTACTCTCATAGTACTTCTATTGCATCAAATATATTTGACATGGTTCACTGTGATGTGTGGGGTCCTTTTTCCATTTCTTCTCATGATAGTTGCAGATATTTTCTTACTATTGTTGATGATTTCAGTAGAGTTACATGGGTTTATCCTCTTAAACTGAAATCTGATACAAAACAGTGTTTGCGTCAATTTGTTAACATGGCTCTTACACAGTTTGATAGAAAAATAAAGGTCATTAGATCAGATAATGGCACTGAATTTCTATTACATGATTTTTATACAAACAATGGCATAATACATCAAACTAGTTGTGTTGAAAACCCTCAACAAAATGGTAGAGTTGAGAGAAAGCACCAACACTTATTGCAAGTTGCAAGAGCCATTCTGTTTCATGTTAATTTGTCTATTTGTTTTTGGATTGATTGCATCTTGGCTGCTGTACATCTTATTAACAGAGTTCCTACTCCTGTTTTACATAACAAAACTCCTTTTGAGATGCTTTATAACAGAAAACCAACTTATGACCACCTTAGAGTCATTGGTTGCCTTTGCTATTCTTCTACACTCCAGGTAAATAGATCTAAATTTGATCCCAGATCTTCTAAATGTGTACTTCTTGGGTATCCATTGGGTTATAAAGGTTATAAACTTTATAACCTAGATACTAAGAAAACATTAATTTTAAGAAATGTGCTATTTTATGAGTATGTGTTCCCTTTTCAAAACCCTGTTCAAACCAATGAATCTTTATTTCCTCAACCTCCTCAGTCCTCCCTTCCCCCATACTTATAAAACTCAGAACACTCAACCATCTCTTACAAACAATCAACCACCTCATACAAATATTAGTCCATCTTCACCAACCAATATACCTACTCAATCTACCTTATCTCAGCCACCCACTCAGACACTACAACCAGACACCAACAATGTGGAACCTACTTCTTCTCCTTCACCTCAGATAAGAAGATCCACAAGAACATCAAAACCTCCATCCTACTTAAACATATATCAACACTCCCTTTCAAATTCCTCTTCTAACACATCCTTCAGCACACTTGAAACATCAACTAAGTATCCTATATCTTCTTTTCTGTCTAATTCTCAACTTTCTCATAGTCATTCATGTTTCACTGCATCCATAACATGCAATTCTGAACCTAAATCCTATTCAGAAGCTGCCAAAGATCCTCTTTGGCAAATACTATGAAGAAGAAATTAGATGCCCTTGAACAGACTACACTTGGCAATTAATTGATTTACCAAAAGAAAAACATTGCATTGGATGTAAATGAGTTTTTAAAATTTAGTACAAATCTGATGGCTCTATTGAAAGATACAAAGCTAGATTAGTTGCCAAGGGTTACACTCAAGAAGAAGGCACTGACTGCTTTGAAACTTTTTCTTCTGTTGCTAAAATATCAACTGTCAGATTTCTCATTGCACTTGCATTTATCAAGCATTGGCATATACACCAATTAGATGTAAACAACGCATTTTTACATGGTGACTTAGATGAAGAGGTTTACATGAAACCTCCACCAGGTTATTGTGAACCTTCTGATCATAGAGCCTGTAAACTTACTAAGAGCCTTTATGGTCTTAAACAGGCCTCTAGGCAATGGTTTCAAAAGCTAACCACTTGTTTACTTTCTTATGGTTTTAAACAATCAGTTGCTGATTGTTCAATCTTTACTTTACGCAATGCGGAGACCTCTTCTTTTATGGCACTATTGGTATATGTTGATGATGTCATTTTATGTGGTAATAACTTGCTTGACATTACCAAAATAAAGGATCATCTTCATAAATGCTTTACTATAAAAGATCTTGGTGAACTGAAATATATACTGGGTTTGAAATTTGCACACTCTTCAAAAGGCATAAATATGTGCCAACGAAAGTATGCTTTGGACATTCTCAAAGACACTTGATTTCTTGCATGCAAACCTACTACAACCCCAATGAATACTTCTATAAAACTTACTGCTCATTCTAATGATACTGTTCTCACTGATGCAACTGAGTATAGAAGATTAGTTGGCAGGCTTCTTCATTTAACTATCTCCAGACCTGATATTAGTTACAGTGTTCAAGCCCTTTCTCAATACATGTCACAACCCACCACACAGCACCTTGCAGCAGCACACAGGATTCTCAGGTATGTCAAGGGTACAGTGGGCCAAGGTATTTTATTTCCCAGAAATTCCTCTTTACTTTTATCAGCTTACAGTGACAGTGATTGGGCTAGTTGTTTGGATACTAGAAAAAGCATAACAGGATATTCTGTGTTTTTTAACTCTCTTATTTCATGGAAATCAAAAAAACAAAATACTGTTAGTAGATCCTCTGCAGAGGCAGAATATAGGGCACTTCTTGCCACTTCTTGTGAGGTACAATAGTTGCTTTATCTTATGTCTGATCTTAATTTGTCTCACACATCTCCTGTGACCATTTTTTCAGATAGTAATTCTGCCATTGCAATTGCCAATAATCCTGTTTTCCATGAAAGAACAAGCACATTCAATTGGACTGTCATCTCATTAGTGAAAAGATAGCTGCTGGGATCATTACACTGCAACATGTACAAAGCAAAGACCAAGTGGCTGATCTGTTTACCAAACCTGTCTCCACTCAGATTTTTACTCATTTGATTCCCAAGTTCAACATGAATAATATACATGTTGATCTTGCGGTGAGTATTAGATATTGTATAATCAAATATGTTATTAGATTAAAGTGTTGGTACAAAGTTGTAATTTTCCTATTCTAGCCTTATGTAGCATATTTAATCTCATGGTATAAATACCCAATTGAGATTTGTATAAGATAATTAATTCATTCATTATTTTCAATACAGTTTTTATCTTTTCTATCTCTTCTCGGGTTCTCTCTTTCTCTCTGTGTACAAAAACCCTAGATCTATCAGTTTTTTATTGAAATAGTAATAATAAATTAATAACTAATTTGCAAATTTTCGACATCCTTTTTTCACGTTGATTTTTCATAACAATATGGAGAGTAAACCTTGGTAATACACAATAAATACAGATGATGAACACAAAGCTATCACATCACATTCAAATGTTTGCATCTAGCAAGTGAGAGGCCTAACCTCTCTTACAAAAAAGGACAGAAAAATAAGAAGAGAAAAAAGAAAAAAGAATGAGACTGAAAGAATAAGGAGATTAGCAAGCCTCAAGTATTGTAACTCTTTCAGGTGAGAACAAGATTTTTTTTTTACAGTTTCACTTTTTACACACTATTGGTGCACTTGATTTGGCAATGTAGGCTTCTTTCTGAATGCATGTTTTCTGCATCTCTCGAAAATGCTATCGTATATTAGATCGAATTGAACCCCTGCTCTTTCTCGGTTCACAATGAAAAGAATGTGATCTCCCTCGACAATCTTATAATACCTGCATAAAGATTTACACATTAGATAATATATATGTTCTTTTTCTTTTATGGCAAATTTTAGGTAGTATTTGCAAATTTACAAGCCATTCTCAACTTCCGGAGGGCAAAAATTCACTCAATATCACCCCTTAAATCTGAACAATGTTTTTTCTTTTTTCTCGATTAAGCGTTTGCAAACACTTATCTGATAAGCATTTTATAGCTTTCATTCCCAATTTTACGAAACCGATAATATAAATCTTTCTCTATAAACCTCAGCCATTTCAGAAATTACAAAACGACCGACATAACTACTAAAAGCTACAGTTTGGAAATGTCATTCATATAACTTTTAAAACAATATAACAATGATCTCATTTTTCAACTGACAGGATAACATAATTGCATTTCTCAGCACAAATCTTTAAAATTTATATGAAAAGGTGAAAGCTTACGAACCAGATGCCAGGCTGTACAGGTTGACATTCTGAATCCTTTACGACAAAATGGCTCGGGTGCTCGACTGGAAAACGAGGGTGCGTCATAGATATTGTGTTCAGCGCTCCATCATTGTCCCACCAATCTTCATCCCTATATATATATATAAAAAAATTACTCACTATTTTCAGCCAAAAAAAGTTCAAACCCAAGATTCTCACTGGTTCCTCCCATATAGGCTATGTTTGGTAACTAAATAAGCTAGCTTATAGCTTATTTGGATATCTTATAAGCTTTCTGTATTCAAATAAAAACTTCGTTTGGTAGAATTGACTTTTTTAAAAAGCTCAAGCTTATCTCGTAAGCTTCATTAGATAGTTTTTCATAAACTCGTTGAAATTTTTATTTCAGCTAGCTTATCAATTAATTTTACCAAACACTTTTATTATATAAGTTAGTTTTTCAGCTATATGTCATAAGCTATAAGTTATAAGCTCGAAAATTACTTATAAGCTATCAGCTAGTTTTACCAAACACATACATAAGTTGTTTAAGTTTCTGGTCAATAAAAATAAAAATGCTTCATTTATTACTTTAATTTTCTTCAGCAAAAATTGACCTAGGAATGTATTTACCAAAGTACACACAAAAAATAAAAATAAATAAATAAATAAACTCACCGGTAACCTTTATAAGGAGGCACGATGTCCATAGGATACCTCCATTGGCTCATCTGCAAAACTCGGATGAACAATAATGGGTGAATCCCGAGCAAGCCAGAAGGGATTGTAACTCCCATTACCTTTCTCGTTCGTTTAGTTGCGTAGCTAAAATAGTAAGTATTTGGAAATGTCTGAATGCGAGTGTTCAGCCGAATGGAACCTTGGATAGTAAGATCCGGAAGAATCCAATCGCCGGAGGCAAACGGGCCGGTTTTGCCAATAAGGCAATTTACGAGGCCCCAAATGCCGATTTTTTTTCTGGACAAGTTGAAATGATCGAAACCAAAATTGTAGTAATTTTTCAGCCACTGGATATCGAACCAGTCGTATAGGATTACTCCGATTCGGCATAATTGGAGTAGGCTAACGGGCTTTACTGATATTCCATCTTCAGGCCTGTCGACGAATCGAAATTTCAGATTTTTTTTTCTTCTTCAAATGTGAATTTTGCATTATATATCAAGGAGAAAAATAAACAGATATGAAATGATATAACTTGAAAACACGAAATTGCAGTACAAAAATACAGAATTACAAAAATCATCCATTTTTTCTGTTATTACGTGTTGAGCCCTAGCGAAACGCGAATTACAGAGCGAAATGAGATGGCAGAGCAGAACATGGGCACAAAAAGCTCCACATTTTAGATTAAATTTATAATTTTAAATCTAAATAAAGCATTTGAACATTGACAAAAAAGGACTTACATCATGCCATCTAAATAGGTTCTTGTGGTGCCATTGAATGCACCGGACAATGAAGTTATGCTCAAGACCCAATTTGGCGACGAGTTCTCATATCCCTTGAATGCCTATAAATTTTACTAAAGTAATTAAACATTTACAGATTTAAAATTTACTTCTATCTGTTCATTTTTTTATTTTTTTTATTTTTCTTAAAATATTTACCTTATCAGCGAGCATTTGCTGCAAGACCCGAACAACTTGTGCACCAGCTGAATGCCCCACGAAGTGTATCGGGTGGTCCTCATCCCATTCAGGATAATGCCCTGCTAATTTTCACTCATCAATCAGAAACTACACAGATAAATAAATAAAAAGAAGTGAAAGTATAAAATTTAAGACCTTGTTCATAAATTCTGCCAAACTGTGAGTGCCCACAAGATTTGCTGTGCTCTTCACCATAATCAACTTGCCCTCCTTTTAGATAGTAGAACAATTCCCTGGC